CATTAATATATTATATAATATATTATATAATTAATAAATGTAAATGTAAATATAAATATAAATATAAATATAAATATAAATATAAATATAAATATAAATATATTATATATTACATTTAAATAAAAATAATAATGATAATAATAATGAAATGATAATGATAATGGATAATGATAATGATAATGATAATGATAATAAATGATAATAATGATTATAATGATGATAATAATAATAATAATAATAATAATAATAATAATAATAATAATAATAATAATAATAATAATAATAATAATAATAATAATTTCCTCGTGTTACGTAAACGCGATCAAAAACGAGCCCGCAAAAGTTAAAAGTGATGCTGGGGATAGCCGGGCAGGTCCCCCCGGGCTGGGCAGGACCCTGCGGGCTGTGAGCAGTGTCGGGAGCGGGGTGAAGCGGTCCCCACTGTCCCTTCGGCTGGACAATATATAATTATAATTACTCTCCGGAGCCTGGGTTCAGCGGGCTGCTGGAGAGCCGGGGAAGGGGAGAGAGAGGTGGGAAAGGGGGGAGGGATGGGTGCCGAGCCCCGACCCGGAAAGTCGGTGAGCTGCTGTATGTCAGTAACTTATTCATCAATCAGCCGGACACAGAGCAGACCTGGCCTCTCTTCGCCGAGTGTTTGCTTTTTCACCAATTATTGCGGCCCTGCAGCTCTTTTTGTTGATACAGTAGTTCTAAAAAGTGCTAATGTTCATTTATCAGGGGGCCGAGCCCGGGACTCCCACTAGTTGTGATTCTTCCAAAAATATAAACACGAAGAGAAGGGCTAAGGCTAAAGCCCCCATTTGTTTCCAAACCGCGGTATTAAAAGTGATGCATTGTTGAAGATAAAGCGGAGATAACGCTGTCTGTCTCCAATGAATGTCTCCCCGACGCATTAATGACATTCCAAATGATAGCTCCGGCTTATCGTTCAATTAATCACTTCCACCGTGCCCCATGGATGGGCAGCGTCCGTGTGAGCGGGGGGCTGCAGGGAGCCCGACACCCCCAGTGAATCCCGGATTGTCGGCCGGCAGCCCCCGCCCCGCCGGGATGCGCTCCGAGCCCGGCCCGGCCACCGGGAACACGAACTGGAAGGGATTTTTGGCCCGGGATAAAGGGAGGGAGCGCTGGGAGCTGTTTCTCCCATCCCATCCAGGGGGATGTCGACGCTGCTCGGGGTTTGGGGAGGATTTGGGGATCACTTCGTTCTTTTAGCCGGTATCCAACCTATCCCTATAAACTTGTCATAAAAAGGAGGTGAGGAGGTTAAGAAAGCACCAGGGGTGCCCCAAACACTGCAAAGTTCTCCTCAGGCCCCTCTCCCGGGGCTGCCTCCACACTCCGGGCACTTCACCTTTCTCCTGCATCAGAGGAGTCTCCATCCCCATCCCCCGGAGTTATTCCTCAGGGAATTCCGCAGCAAACGCAGAAGTGAAGATGGAGCTGGCAGACCCCTCCCCTCATTAAATGGCAAAATTTCAGGCCTCCCGTTCACAGGGATCGCTCCCACCGGCATCGCCAGAGCCGGGGCTGCTTCGCCAGCAAAGCGATAATTCCCAGCACAGCCGCGGATCCAGAATTCAAAATATCCAGAATTCAAAATATCCAGAGTTCAAAATATCCAGAATTCAAAATATCCAGAATTCAAAATATCCAGAATTCAAAATATCCAGAATTCAAAATATCCAGAGTTCAAAATATCCAGAATTCAAAATATCCAGAATTCAAAATATCCAGAATACAAAATATCCAGAATTCAAAATTTCCAGAATTCAAAATATCCAGAGTTCAAAATATCCAGAGTTCAAAATATCCAGAGTTCAAAATATCCAGAATTTAAAATATCCAGAATACAAAATATCCAGAATTCAAAATTTCCAGAATTCAAAATATCCAGAATTCAGCTCCCTGGAAGAGAGCCCGGGGTGCCAAGACACAAAATCTCGAGGGGCAGTGGAGGGTCGGTCCTGCTGGGGGTGGCCAGGTGCTCACCTTTCCACCTTCCTGCGGGAGGAGAAGGGATTTGCACAGCTCTGAGAGCGGGGTTCACCCAAGAGCCCCCCCGAACTCCCCGCATCCCTTTTGGGTTTTTCTGCTCCGCTCCCACCGTGCCCATCCCCGTGCCTCTCTCAGCCAGGCGCTGCACAAAGGACATTCTTTATTTATTTCTTTTTCTTTATTTTATTTCTTTATTTTATTTATTTTCTCTGCAGAAAGGAGATTCTTTATTTATCTCTTATTCTTTATTTTATTTCTTTATTTTATTTCTTTTCTCTGCAGAAAGGAGATTCTTTATTTATCTCTTATTCTTTATTTTATTTCTTTATTTTATTTATTTTCTCTGCAGAAAGGAGATCCTTTATTTCTTTCTTTTACTTTATTTTATTTCTTTATTTTATTTCTTTTCTCTGCAGAAAGGAGATTCTTTATTTATCTCTTATTCTTTATTTTATTTCTTTATTTTATTTCTTTTCTCTGCAGAAAGGAGATTCTTTATTTATCTCTTATTCTTTATTTTATTTCTTTATTTTATTTATTTTCTCTGCAGAAAGGAGATTCTTTATCTCTTATTCTTTATTTTATTTCTTTATTTTATTTCTTTTCTCTGCAGAAAGGAGATTCTTTATTCATTTCTTTTTCTTTATTTTATTTCTTTTCTCTGCAGAAAGGAGATTCTTTATTTATTTCTATTTTTTTTTCTCGCTCTCCCCCAACTCACAAAGCCCCGAACCGCCCCTCCGCTACCTGCGACTTTGCAGTTTTATTTTAGCGGCTCCTTTACTTACTCCTCCCTTACCCTGGTGTATTTTGCAACACCTTCACCCACGCTTGTTTTGGTTGATTTTTAATTTTTTTTCCCCTCCAGGCAGTGCTGCTTCTTTGTTTGAAAGCTTTACAAACAAACGAGAGCAAAACCCAATCGGCATTTCCCTGTCCAAAGGCGGGCAGGGGCTGCTCAGGGTCTCTCTCTTTTGCAATCACTGTACATCTGTATAAACCCTGAGCGCGGATTTCCCCTTGAACGCTCTTCACACAGCGCTGAACTCCCGTTTTTTAGTTCCTGCCATCGGATATTGCAGAATACTAAAAACGAAACCTCCGTAAAAAAAATAAAATTAAAAAAAAAAAAAAATCAGCACATATTTGGTTGATGGTTTCCTCCCGGCTTGTTTATTTAATCTGACTGTATGATAGATAGCGTCAGACACTGACTTTGTACGCATTAAGCCATTCTCTTTTTGGTTTTTTTTTGTTTCAAATGGATGAACCAGCTCGCCGCTGCGAAGCTGGATAAATTCAGTGCCGCCCCTTTAAAAGAGCGGAGCTGTTTTTGAGATGTATTACTATATTAGGTGACATGGAACTTTGCATCTCTCATACCATCACCGCAATGTTGGCC